GGCTGCTTGTAGCAGCATGAGCTGGGCCTCTTCAGTTTGTCTCTGCTTTTTCTTTTGAGTAGAGGTCTTCTTAGCTGTGTGTTGATCCCAGGCATGTCTAGCGTGTCTGAGAAGCTCATTTAGACTGATACCAGTCTTCCACCCGATGTAAGTGGTCTAGACAGCTTTGCAGATTGGTGGGAGAAGTCCATTCATCAGAGATTGACAGATAATGATCTCGAAAGATGTTGCTTTTTGGGCGTCTTGCCAGTCCTCAAAAGGAAACTCAATGCCATAATGTGTTCTGAAAACAGGCAACAGCCTGTTGGAATAATCTTGTGGTGACTCATCTTGTTTTTGGGCAGTGTCTGTGATGGTAGTGAAGCTTGGGGTCTGAGGATATGCTGCAGTGATGCATTCTATGATCCTTTCCACTTGTTTGAAATAACTTTGGTTGTCCTTGTGATCTACCTGGACGTTGACAATTCAACGTCCATCACGTACATCACATAGTTGGGCCCCGATGGTGCTGATGAACCCAATCCCGTACACAGAAGTCAGTATCATTTTGAACTCAGCCAGTGTGGGTCGGACCACTTCTATCATGTTTATCATGGCAGCAGCTACAGCAGCTCCTCCTTGTGCCAGGTCAGGCAAGTGCTGGCTTGCCATCTCGATCAGGGTCGCCTTGGGCCAGGCTCGATACACCAGTTTAGGGCCAGTTGGTCCTCTAACCTCCAGAATTGGGTTGGTGAGCAGGTCTTCAGGATCGTCCACTCCATCTGCAGCTTGGGGAAGGTCAGATAATGATGATCTGCGTTTTTTTTTGTTTTTTTTCTTTAGGCTTTGCTGTTTAACGTCATCAATTTTCTTTTTTATAGCTTCAGCCTTTTCTTCAAGGGCCTTAATTTTTCCCATTTGTCTTGTGACGACTTTAGTACTGGTTCCAGCGACAGGACCTTTAGTATCAGCTGGGGTCTTCAGTGAGGACGCTGGTGAGGTTTTATCATTTTCTTCCTCTGAATCAGATGCTGGTACATATCCTTGAAAATCATCATCAGAGTCGAGGGCCCAAGTGGGTTTTGGTGGTGGGAACAGCTGAGCTTGACCTTTAATGGGTAGTCTTTGTGATTTTTCCTTCTTTTTCTTTGCCGTTACAGGTTGGGCGTACGATGGTGGGTCAGTGAAACCAGCCAGAGAGGGGTACAGCTTTGCCGTGGGAGACGGAGGTCCACAGGACTCCGGTGTATAATAGAGAGAAGAGAAAGACACATTTAATTTGTCCTTAAGCGATTTCTTTTTATTTTCGGCTAATATTTTTTGTGAATTTGTCATTGTCTCATTTTTTAGAGCCAATTTGGTTGCCTTTCCAACTTTTTGAGTCATTTGGTACATTTTAGATGCTGTTTTTGTGTTAGGGATTTGGACTGGTTTTTCCATAATTTAAACGCTTGCGCATGATTGTGCATTGCTACAAAAATATCCTATGGTATTTTCTTCATATCACACATTTTTTGTTTCTGTCTTAACAACTGTTCATCTAATTTTTGAATTTCTTCAGGGTCAAAAGAACCATTTTTTTGAAAATTTAATTTAGAATGCCACTGTGAAATAAAACTGAGACACAAATTTCCATGTAATCTACGCATATGGTCTGCCTCTGGACCACAAGGAATGTAATCCTCTACTTTGCTTTCCCCTGCACCCATTTTTGTTTAATTTTCCTGGTGCTTCCTTGTTTAATTATCCACTATTTATTTCTCAGTCCCTTATCAGGACCTACCTTGATTTGTGTACACAAATCTACCTCGGTTTTATTTTTTAAAACCTACTTTGTTATATATTAAAAAGATTTTCAGTTTACCTTAAGTATTTGTTTTTTGTGGTCTCAGTTTGGTTCGAATTCTGTCCAGGTCGAATCCTCCCAATGGAAAACCAGAACGTCCCCTCACTCTCAAAAAGACCTAGTAGAGGTTTAGGGAAGAATCCTGCGATTCCTGGTGATCAGCCCCCGTCCTGGGTCTACCGAGTGGACGAACCAGCGAAGAACCCTGTTCGTGACGCCAAATGTTTTACAGACACGGAACTAAGAATGCCAAGCCCGACACTCTCTCTAGGATTCAGGATAAGTTTGAGAAGTATCAGACTAGCTGAGAGAAGGAGTTTATTCTACTGGAGATGGTTCAACTTTTGATCACGCAACTGGAGGAGGAGATCAGACAGGCTCACCATGATCATCCACCACTTACTGATTGTCTCAAGGATCATATGTTCATCCTGAAGGACAATGTGGAACAGGTACTCAAGCTCTGCCATAAGTCTTGACTATTCTGTCATCCAGGAATTAACAAGACACTGGTGGTGGTAAAGGCCCAGTTTTGGTAGATGAACTTGGTCAAGAATGTCAAGGAGTTCATCTCCTCTTGCCATCAATGTTCCCATCCAAGACCTCCTGACAACCTCCTGCTGGCCTCCTGTGACCACTCCCCATCTTGTCCTGGCCATGGTCTCACATCTCTGGATTTCATCACTGGGTTGCCTTCTTCCGGTGGTAACACAGTCCTCCTCAACATTTTGGATAGGTTCCCATGAGATTGTTCATCCTGTCCCCTTAAAGAACTCCCATCTGCCAAGGAACTGAGGGAGGTCCTGGTCCGAGAAGTGTTCTGCCTCTATGGTCTGCCTGCTGACATTGTCTCAGATCTGGGTTCCCAGTTCATTTCTCGGTTTTGGAGGGAGTTCCGTTATCTTCTGGGCATTTCTGTCAGCCTCTCGTCTGGTTTTCACCCAAAGACTGATGGACATAGTGACAGGGTAAACCAGGAAGTAGAGACCAAGCTTCGGCTCCTATGTGCAGAGGTTCCATAACCTTCCCTGGGTGGAGCAGGCACTGAACTCCCTGTCATCCTCTGCCACTGGTCTGTCCCCGTTTTTAACTGTCTACAGATTCTAGCCACCGGTGATCACCATTTAGGGGAAAGCAGATGAGGTCCCCTCTGCTCATACGGCTGCCCACAGATATTAACGAGTTTGGAGAAGAACCAGAAAGACCCTCTTCAAGATGTCCACAGTCTATTCCAGGAGTGCCAACTGACGTTGTACCCAAACTTTGCCTTACCAAGTGGGTCAAAGCATCTAGCTATCCACTTTGGACTTTTTTCTCCATGTGGAAAAATGTAAATAGGCACCTCCTTTCCCCTTTTATAAAGTGGTGAACCTGTTGGCAGTCCACCTACAGTGCCCTCATTCTTTGAGGATACACCCCACATTTCATGTGTCTCAGGTTAGGCCTCTGGTTCCATTCTGTTTTGGATCCTCCTCCAGATCCCCTCCTCCTGCCTGACCCATCAATGTTTCTCCTGCCCACACTGGGGCGGCTGTGGCAGAGTGGTTAGAGCAGTCGTCCTCCAATGTGAGAGTTGGGGGTTCGAATCCACAGAGTGGACGGACCAGCCAAGAATCCTTTTTGTGACGCCAAATTGTGGAGTTTATTAAACCTATTGTTCAAAAAATTAGAGACTGAGAACTTCAACAAAAATAAAAAGTGAAGTTTTATTTATTTCTTCTGCAGAAGGAGAAAACACATGAACAAGCACGCAGCCTAGGAGTTCTGTGTATTCTGAAAAAACATGGGTAATACGGCTTCATTTATACACACCTTCAAACGTAACAGAACTTGTTTGCTTTGACACAACAGGCGTTAACCTCATTTGCAATCTTATCAGGGTAAAAACAGACAATACGTTTGTGGTCAGTGTGACTGGTTCTGGAGCTGGGTTCCGTACCGACAGGCTTGTGAGACTCAGGAAAAAAGGGTTTCATACACTGATGTAACTGCTGTAGTTTAGATAAGCTTTAACAGAGTGTGATATAAAGTAAATGAATAATAAAAGTGATGATAATAAAATTGATGAACAAAATAAACTGGTATCAATGTTTTCATTTCCACACTTCCAACTGAGGCGGCTGTCTAAACTGATGCCCATATTATCCAGAAATAACCTGGAGACAGTAATACACGTATTCATTACATCTAGGCTTGAATACTGCAATTCACTCCTGTTTGGAATCAGTCAGACCTCCATTGCATGAGTACAACTGGTCCAGAATGCTTCAGCCCGATTTTTAACCAGTACAGGCAAAAGAGAGCATATTACACCAGTTTTGGGCTTACTGCACTGGCTACAGTTTCACCTTCGAATCCAGTTCAAAATACTCCTGTATGTCTACAAATCGCTGAACAGTCGTCCCCCCCATCTCTCTGATCTGCTTCAGCCATATGTCCCTCCACATTCCCTGAGGTCAGCGGACCAGTTGCTCCTCACAGTTCCAGGAACTCGTCTTAAGCGCAGAGGTGACAGGGCCTTCTCTGTAGCAGGCCCAAGACTTTGTAACAAGTTGCCTCTGTTGTCAGACAGGCCCCCTCCCTCTCGGTTTTCAAGTCCCGTTTAAAAAACCACTACTATTCAGTAGCTTTCAACACCAGATGATCTGTGTTTTGAACCTGTATTCTCTACACTGGTTAGTCGTCATATTTATTATATGTATCGTTTTTATGTCTATATTCTGATTTACCTCATTTTGTATATTGCTTTGTGTGTTGCCTGTTTTTCTGTCTGTAAGGCACTTTGGTTGGCCTTGTAGCTGTTTTAAGTGCTCTATAAATAAAATGGTATGGTATTGTAGGGGAACACCACTTAAGAAACAGTTCATCTCAGCTTAAACAGAAACAGTTCACCTCATCTCAAACAAACATCATTCATGTGTTTTGAACTGTTTAAAATAAGATGCATCTATTCCCTTGGGAACAAACAGACTATTTTACAGGTTTTCAACTTAGCTCACAAACTCCTTAGTTGACACTAATGTGAATGTATAAAAAAAATGTCACTTTGTTAACCACTTTCAATATGAACTCATTTCCCACGAAATGGACAGGTCGTTTTAATGAGTTTGGTTCAACTGACATCGAAGCTTAGGAACATCCAAACTCGCTACTTTGATATCTTCCTTTATCAAAGAGGAGTATTACTCCCAGGATGGGTTCCCATGGTGATAACACATTTATTTATTTATTACCCTTTATTTAAAACGACATTTTCTTTTCAGGAGATGAACAGCGACACCTTTTGATGACAATTGCATGTTATTTCAAAAGCTTCAGAACTGAATGTTTGTGTATGAAAATGTCTGTTTAAGTAATCTCTCTAAGATAATCAATTGTCTTGTTTTCCTCTTTTTAAAAGAGTGACTTTTTAAAAAGGCAGACAGAGAAAATGGACATTAGATTTTATCAAACATGACAAAGAGTTAGGACCACCCCTCTTCTGAGAGGTGGACCAAAGTCAATCTGTAACACACAGACAGTTAAGTTAAGTTTCACTTATACTTCCATTCTACTTCTACATCACATCTTCTTCAACACTTTTTCTTCAAGCACTGAACTTCGAGCAAACTTCAGAGAAGAAACTTCCTCCTAGTGAGATATCCTAGAAGAAAGAGAATGAGAGAAGCAGCCTTTTCTGGAAGCCCTGCAGAACCAGAAGCAGAACCTGGCATTAACCTGAACTTTGTTACCAGAGCCATCACACCGCAGAGTTGAAAAATCCCAGCTAACTCCCATATGGACCCTCGTCCCTCTAAGATGGCAGGTGAACTTTGAGGAAAAGTCAGCCTCTCTGTCACTAGAACATCTGGACTGGTACCATTTTTAAGCAGCTGTTGGACCATTCAGACCATCTCATTCTGGTAGGACAAGAGACCTTTAATGCCTTTCTGGTGATCATACATCACAATAATATTGCTTTATAAACACACTACAGTTAATTTAGACACAATTTCAACTACTCCACAAATGGAACTGGTCCAAAATTTGCCTTTTTTAAGTTTCACTGATTTGAATAACCAACTAGACCTTTGATACAAAGCTATTTGTTATTCATTTATGTATTCATTTTATGCATAATCTTCATCAGATTTATTACAGATGATTATTTTTGCAATAAAATACATGAATAAACTAAATTTGTGATTATTTTGGCATATCTGTGTGTATTACTGATTTGATGCCTTTTAAACACTAGAAAAGAATTCACTAGAGCACAAAACTTGAGTCTGATTTAATAATTTTCTTGCTTAAGAAACCAGAAAGCAAGTGGTGCCCCTTCAAAATAAAATTACTAATAAAATTCAACAATTTGAGGACCCTTTCCTTTACAGTATGGTATGGTAAGGGGTGTATAATGATAGATCAAAGTGATTTTGGTACACCTCGGCTGAAATCTGTGTAATTTAGAGCCAAACATATTGTAACGGTGTCACTTCTTAATTCGCCACACTGTCACGCTCACATCCTCAAGCCAAAATGGTTTGCGCTTTAAATCAAGCCAGACCATATTATCTGTCTTCTAACACAGGATCATCCTGATTAAGTCAATTGTGTGAAAGAGAGAATATTCCAAATTTAAAAAGAGACTTCCTGTTCTGAGGGGGTGGGGCTTCAATGATGTCAAAATATGACCACAGTGGATCATTGGGCATCCAACAGCGATGATTCATGCCGTTTCGTGCATTTTGGTCTTTCAATGTGAAAGTTAGTGTTTGGAAATTTATGGCGTGAAGTGAAAATTTTAGGGCTTGCCATGCCCTTTAACATCTACGAAAATGCAAGCTTTAGATAATTTTTACTCTCCAATGTCTTAAGGGCATATCAACCAAGTTTGAAGGCAATCCTTCAAAAATCCAAGGAGGAGTTTGTTAAAATTTGCAATTAGAAATGCCTAAAAATAACCCTTTGAACCAAAATGGCCAACTTCCTGTTGGTTTTGGACCAGGGCTCCAAGAGACTTTTTCATAGGTCCTGCCAAGATACAGATGTTCACCGAGTTTCAGAAATATCGGTCAAAAAATGGCTTGGGGCTGAGGTTTTAAAATATTCTAGGGGGCGCTGTGGAGGCTATTGGTCACTTATCATGGCTTCCTGTTCAAGGGGTGGATAATGATCGATCATACTGATTTTGGTGCACCTCGGTTCAAAACTGTGGAATTTAGAGCCAAATGTATGGTGACGGCGTTATGTCTTACTTGGCTGCGCCGCCCACATGCTCCACCATAAACTGTCAGTGTTGGACAGCAGGTTACACCAACATGTCTTCAGTCACTGGACCCACTATCATGCTGATCAGGTAACAAGGGTCAGATAGGGATCATTAAACGTAAAACTTTATATTTCCCTTCAGCATGTTCCGAAACAAACTATTTAGATAACTTTGCATCCCCATGCCTTTTGACCAAAATGGTCAAGTTTGAAACTGAGCAAAATCCCTAGGAGGAGTTCGTTCAAATGCGGAGGCTGTAAACCGCCAAATAGGTGTGAAAATTGTGCCGGCATTCCAAAATGGCCGCCTTCCTGTTTATCATACAACGTTGGTGCCAGAGGGTTTTCTGTGCATCTTGGGAAATTGGACAAGCGTACCAAATTTCATGTTTCTATGACAAACTAAGGTTAGTGCGTAGGGTATTTTGAAAATTTCTAGGTGGCGCTCTTGATTAATTTTTGTTGCAATTTTTGCCACGCCCTTAAAATACGTAATTTTTCACCAGTCCTGATGCGCCCGGCTAATTTGGTGACTTTTGGGATATGTTAAGGCCCCCAAAACACCAATTCTTTTGGCGGAAAAAAAATGTAGCTCAGGCCTGAACAGAGCAAATACAGTACAATAGGCCTTCGCAGCGCTTTGCTGCTCGGGCCTAATGAACAATGTCAAGGACACACACCACAGCTTCCACTCATCTCAGTACTGAGGTACATTTTGTTTAAACAGATAATGTGCTGGTTGTGTTTCTGTTTTGTTCATAGGTGGGTTGTTCAATTTTTTCTTTTGAGTGACTTGGGGTGATATCATGGCTCTCCCCTTGACTTTGATCTGTCAATATGGCTTTTTTGAAAGAAAAGAAAAACAATCACTGCATTATAGGACCAGGCCTGAGAATGAAGTCCCAGATACATTCTTGGTAAACTCAGGTATACAGCCATTCTACAACTACTTAAAGTTGCTTTATTGATAATCAATTCCTATTAATTTATTCTTTATCTCATTTCTATTTCGAACCATCAAGCTTCCAGGAAGCAGATGCTGGATGAGCCTCTGCTGAATTTCATCCTGAAGGACTGCAAGCTACGCTTATTTTTTTAGAATAAAAATTTGTAAAAAACAACAACAATCCCAGTCCAGAAGCATCCTCATTCAGAACATGTTCACTTATATTTTCACGTTATGATACATGTTCACATTATTTATTGACTGTATCTAAAAATATCAAAGATGTTTTATATTTAAATGAAAATATGAAATAATAAAGTACAATGACTTAAAATTATATTATTGTATATAGTAGATCATCAAATCAGTGTCAGTTGAGTCTGTCAACTAGGTTGTCTGTAGGGATTTTTAAGTTCCAGCAGGTATTCATTGACACAGTATCGACACATTATCAATACACTTTGGCAATGTGTTGAAACACTTCATGATGCCTCATCGACCCATAACTAACAAATAATTTATTACAACAATGTAAAGAGGGCTGACGAGGCAGCAGACTTCCATAAACCATGGGAACAGGTTGCAGGACACGAGGAGCAGAACAGGCATCACAAAGGACAATGACCAGACAACAAGGAAGGCAAACAGACAGACTTAAACACAAACACTAATAAGACTTAACATAAAACACCTGTGACACATCACAGCTGTAGGAACAAAAGGGAAATTACCTGGACCAACACAGGGCAGAAGAGGGAGCCAGAGACCAGGGGAAGTACAACTCCTACAACATCCTGCTTTATTGCATCTGACGTTGAAGCTAACACACAGGCTCGGTGATGTGGGACTTTGAGCCTTTGGCTATGCTCTATGTCTGCTTTAAGATAAATAAGATTGTGTCCCACCTCTTTTAACAAAATACAACCGACCTTATTACTGTGCAAATACTAATAGGCCTCAGAGCTTTTCAGGTTGTTCATTGCTTCACCGTCAGAAGAACCAAGTCAATGACGTGCTAGTAGATGTAATCTGCAGCCACTTCTTCAGGTTGTCCTCCCATCTCCCTCGTCTGCAGTAGGTAGCGGTATGATTATATTGTCCTGTTTAAATGAAATTCACAAAGCTAGGACTAACTTCAATTGCACTGTTCACACATAAACAAATGCAGTTTTCACTCTGCTGGAAGTAACATACATAATTCATGCAAAGCATTATGGGACATAGGGATAAGGTCAATAATGATGAAAACACATTGGACTATAATATGCATTGTTTACAATAATAATAATGTGCTACAAAACGAGATAATTTTGAGACACTTTAATGTGAAAATTAGGGGTGAGTGTGTGACAATATTACTCAAATTATGATAATTTTAAGCTGCCTGTACAATACTTTCATACATACTTTACATACATTCATACATTTCTCATCTACACTGACACTGTATCTCCAACTCCCAATGTAGCCTATTTTATAGCAAGTGTAATGTGAATGAGGGAAAGAGAATATATTTCAAACACAGCCCTTGGTTACTTAAAGGATCTGTTGTTACCATGGCAATTAAAGGTCAAGCTAATGTCTGAGTTAAGAACAAATCAAAACACAAAGTAAAAATTAAAAAAAATATTTAAATATTTTATATAATTTATTTTACTTTGAAGGAATATTTTTAATATCAGAACAATATGCAGTGTGTTCTGAACAACAAGAAACACTTTACAGACCTCACAACAGAAAAGTGTTTAAAGTTAATGCATTTAAAAACAGTTTTAACAAGCAGAACAGCTTCCATGTTTTAAAAGTAAACGGCCAAATTTCATTCCTAACACCTTAAATGTGAAGAGAGACAGAGAAATTAAATATTGTAGATTTTGTAAATTTGAAACTTGGTAAAAGCTAAAATGCTGTTGACATGCTTGTCTCGTGTCCTCCTGCTCTCCTCAGTGGCATGGAGCTTTGAGGCTCCAGAGGACAAACAGGATGTGTTTGCTAACAGGGCCTGTCCTGCCTTTCTGACCTTCAGAAACACTGCGTACCTGGCAGGAGTCACTGTGGAGCTGTCCTGCCACTGCAAGCCTCAGGAGGTAATGCAACATAAAGGAATCATTCACATATTTTGATGTTGGTTTCTGTAGAAAAGTTATGGACAACTAAAGAAATAGCATTTACTAAAGAAATAGTATTTTCTGCAAAAATGCTGTTGAATGCTGAGTTCTGAATGACTTGGATGAAATTTGTTGAAGAGGCTCATCCTGAGTTGTTAAACCTATACGCTTAAAAAGGGAACACGAGCTAAAAAAGCCAAATGCTAGTTGTAAGTTAAATGCAGCATGATAGCTAGAAACTATAAGTAGTAAATTACCAAGTGGGGCAAAATATTTGCAATAAAACTACAAACTATACTCAGCTAAAGCTACTAATTTGTCCTTTTGGTGTTTTTTTGTTTGTTTGTTTCTGCTTGAATGCACTGTTCAGTTTGTTAAAAAAAAAAAAGGGTCAGATATTTCTGGCTCAGCCCGTGTTTGAGGTCTTTTCCACTGTTCCTGGAACCGGCTCACCTCCCTAAATTCTGGCCCGGCTTCTCAAGGGGTCCAAGCGAGCCGTGACGTCAGAAACACTGTCGGTCACTGATTGGTCGGGGGGAGGAGTCTGTGGAGTCTTTCCAAACAACCTGATCCACCATTTTTCTCTACCGCCTGCCATTAGCGATAACACGAGGAGCGTATCTTTTAGTAATTTGAAGCTATACAACAACAATAATGTCAAAGCTGTGGCCAAATGCAGAAGTGCAGGTGTTGTTGTGCTTGGTGGCAGAAGAAAAAAGTCAAAGCGAGCTAGATGGAGGATTGGAGGGTGGTTTGGACACGGCCACTGCTCTACTTGAATCATTTATAGAAGATGGTGAGTGTTTTCTAACTTTAAACATATTTTAAATTACTCATCCCATCGGTTCTGAACATATTTTTAACTAACAAAAGAGGCTGATGCCATAATAGGACAACGTCGGTGCTACGATGCTAAGCTAATTTGCATAAACGCTAACTGTCCTCCGGTCCCGTTTCTCACTGTATTTTATCCAGAACGTATTTCAGTGCGTGACGGTTCATCTCTAAACTCCACATTAAACCCTCCAAGCCTCCCGGCTCCTGCCCCTGCTCCATCAGAGGAGTCTACACCTGACAGAGCTCCATCAGAGGAGTCTACACCTGACAGAGCTCCATCAGAGGAGTCTACACCTGACAGAGCTCCATCACAGCCCAGCTGCACCTCACAGAGCAGCACAACGCTGCAGCTTCTGTGCTCGGTAAGAACAGATGCAACATGTTCCACATCACTTTATTTGTGCCGATAAGGACTTGATTTATTTTATTTTTAAAGTAAAACAATAAAATGTTAAATACTGAATACGCACCACATGTTGAACATGTGGTGGGAAAATTATGTACACAGGGTCCCAGTTACAGACAACAAAATGTAAAATAAAAACAGTAATAAGATCTAAGATATGAATTAAGAAAAATATCAACTAAAAAACATCTACTAATAAAACACTAAGCACTAATAGCAGTAAACAATCAAAACAATACGTCAAACAGCAACATGAACTTGAGTTTGTCCAGCCTCATGAATATCTAACCAGGATAATCATGTTGCTGCTGATCTGTTTCATGTTGCTGCTAATCTGCTTCATGTTGCTGCTGATCAGTTTCATGTTGCTGCTGATCTGTTTCATGTTGATGTGTTCATTCGTGCTCATCTGTTCACACAGACTCATGTCCGTGCTGCTGTTCAGCGTATTGTGTTTAATGTTTTTATGCTATTAGTGCTTAACATATTTTTAGTTGATATTTTTCTTAGTTCATATCTTAGATCTTTTTACTGTTTTTCTTTTACATTTTATTGTTGGATGTAACTGGGACCCTGTGTACATAATTTTGATCCACCACATGTACCACATGTGGTGCGAATGACAATAAAGAATATCTGTATCTGTATAATACTTTCTGATTCATATATCCATTATTATTATATTATTTTCATTATTTTTAAATACTTTATTTTTCATTTTCTTATTTGATCAGTTTATTATTATTAATATATCTCTTAGAGCTGTTAGCTGCACCTTTCTTTGTTTGATGCACTTATTCAAAAACAGTATGTAGCTTGAATTAACCACCTGTTTCTTCTTTCTAGTGAAGAGAAAGAGAAAAGAGTCCAGTAAAGAAAAGTCTTATTTCATCACTGAATGAACATGAAGAACTGAAGCGGACACAGCAGGAACAACACTTGTGTCTTCTTCTGGATGAAGCCCGTGAGACAAGGGACACACAGATACACAATCATTAGTTGGACGCAGTAGTTTTATTTTTCTACATTTTTCACTTCTTACTTTTCCTAATAAATCCAACATTTTTCAGTCAGGTCATCTGGACACTTTCTTTTTTTTTTTGTGCTGAAACGTTTCGCCTTCGATCCAGAAGGTTTCATCAGTCAAGGAAACACAACAAAACTGATTCTTCCTCCAATAGCTTACTCCAAAGTGAAACAAACCAGTTCCACATGACCTGACTGAAAGATGTTGGATTGTGTACCTGGGTTAGAGCATGGACTTTGTTGTTTTCCTATTAAACATTTTTTTTCTTAAGCGGTGTCCTTGAACATTAAATTTCCTAAACAAATTTTACAATGTTAAGAGCAGATAGTGTTTGTTTAAATTCATACTGGAAGTTGAGAATTTTTTTTTATTGCATTTGATCTTTAATGAATCCTAATAAAAGATTACTAGAATCTGCTCAACTGTTATTATGTTATAAATGTTTTGGTTCTAGGATGAAGTGAGACATAAACAGTCAAAAATTCAGAAAAGACAGTTATCACTTATCAGTTATTTATCAGTTATCTGTTATCGGCTGTACAACTGTGGCCCGAGAGATTCAGCTGAAAGTCCTGGTGCACCTTTAATTTGAACCTGCAGAGATTTGAACAGCTGATCTGAAGCAAACAGGCAGGAGTTCACCTGAACTGAGCACTCCTGCTGTTTGATGGTCTCCTCCTTTGCCATCCATCCATCCATCCATCCATCCATCCATCCATCCATCATCTTCTGCTTCAGGGTTGTGGGAGCAGCATCTTTACTAGGGAGGCACAGACATCAACATCCACCTCTTCAACTCTTCTAGGACCCCATAGTGTTCACAGACCAACTGACTATTTATTAATATCCTGATGCTGCTCAATAATCCAGGTAGAAAAATCTAAAAAGTCTGGTCCTCTGGACATTCACAAAAAACAATAAATTTTGTAATAAATAAAAAATAAATCTAAACGATTCGTCTCATCCGAGAGACTTCCTCAGTCTGAGGTGCTGTATTCAGCTCAGTCTCTTAAATAGCACCTTCTCAGAGTGGATCAACCAGTTTTGCTGCTGACAACCAAAACCAGCTGATCACATGCTCAAGAAGGACCATCAGCCTAACAATGGATCATTAGCACACTGATGGTTGTTTACTATTCACAGAGGGCTGAGTGATACTAGCAATCACAGCATTGTAAGAGGGGGACAGTTGAACCCGGAGGCCTCCACCCCTGTTTAATGATGGACGATTTCTTTTCACAAAGATGGCCTCCTTTACACCCTTTGGAGCACAAGTTAGGAGTCATCAGGACTCTGTATCACAGAGCAGACAGTGTCCCCACTAGCTCAGGAGCCAGGCAGAAGGAGAAATCCCACACAAAACAGGCTCTAGAGCAATGTGGATATCCTAACTGGGCCTTCCTGAAAGCAGAGAAGAAACCCAAACAGGACTCCAGTCAGCCATCAGGTGAAAAGGAGGAACCCAGACCAGTGGTCATTCCGTATGTTGAGGGGGTATCAGAGAAACTGAGACGTTTATTTTCTAAACATAACGTCCCAGTGGCTTTTAAACCCCAAAATACATTACGGCAAAGACTGGTTCATCCCAAAGATCCAGTCCCCCGGCACAAACAGAGCAATGTTGTGTATGTTGTTCAGTGTCAGGAGGGTGATCAGTCTTACATCGGGGAAACTAAACAGCCACTGGCCAAAAGGATGGCCCAGCACAGAAGATCAACATCATCAGGCCAGGACTCTGCGGTCTACACTCATCTTCAGGCCAGCGGTCACTCTTTCAAGGATGAAGATGTTCACATCCTGGACAGAGAGGACCGATGGTTTGAGAGAGGAGTAAAGGAGGCCATCTTTGTGAAAAGAAATCGTCCATCATTAAACAGGGGCGGAGCCTCCGGGTTCAACTGTCCCCCTCTTACAATGCTGTGATTGCTAGTATCACTCAGCTCTCTGTGAACAGTAAACAGCCATCAGGTGCTAATGATCCATTGTTATGCTGATGGTCCTTCTTGAGCATGTGATCAGCTGGTTCTGGTTGTCAGCAGCAAACTGGTTGATCCACTCTGAGAAGGTGCTATTTAAGAGACTGAGCTGAAAACAGCACCTCAGACTGAGGAAGTCTCTCGGATGAGACGAAACGTTTCTACATTTTTTGTTGATTTGCTTTGTTTTGTTTTTTTGAATGTCCAGAGGACCAGACTTAACTTTTTTAGATTAATTAGTAATACGTTTGTTTTTAAATTTAATAATAGACAAATCTTTGAAATTTAAGGACAAAATTTTATCCAATTGTTTAAGTCTTATTGTAAAAGCAGTTTCAAAGATTACATCACAGTGTGATGTTTTGCAATTTTAACATGAACCTTGTGCATATCTGTAAATAATAAAAGTGAATATATTTTTAATACATTATAAAAATCTATACTAAAATGTAAAACACATGGGTTTAAAGCAGCAGGAAGGCAGGATTATGAATCAGGTTTAAAAGTTACAGTTCATGAGGTACTCCATTAGAGCATGACATCTCTTCCACAACATCTTGTGACAAAACCTTCAGGGTGTTCTTATACGTTTAGTGGTGGCTAGTAAGTAGCTTAAGGGAGCACTACCGCCACCAGGTGGTAAGACGAGTTGGATTCTAGTCCCCGCCTACAGAACCGGTCCAGAAGTGCAAATGGAAACACGAGACCCGAGCCGAGCTGAACCGACCAGAGCTGACCTGATCTGCACTGTGACAGTGGAAAAGGGGTATAAGGTTCACATTTCACCATCTTTGCATTCATCTTATGTTGAGTTCTACATTTTTGCAATTTGGTTTGTGACATTAATGGATGGTGATGGGTCCCAAAGTGAGATAAGTTCATAACCACTGCTTTATGGATCATCAAATATTATCTACATAAAATGACCTCAACATCTAGCAAAGTACCTTTGGTGTAGCTTGGGCCACTTCCTGCATGATTATCATACTTGGCAATATACCAAGGTAGATAATCTACCGTATATTCCACCGTACACATCGCTCCACCCTGAGTTACATCAGTCCATATTTGTTTAATAAAGTGGAAGAATCCCTAAATATGTCGATTTGCCATATACGTCGCATCTATTATGAGTCACCGCTGACAACCAGGAAATGTGGTCCAAACCCTGAAATGTGGGCAAGTGTTGTGCCAAAAATAAATGGGTTGCCAAATGGCAACCACAAAAGTTTGCACGTGAGGACTTTACAAGAAATTAACAAGATTAACACTTGAAAACAATTTGCTCAAAATTATAGAAGTGTGTCTCAGTTGTACTATTCCTTAAAAAAATGCACTTTAGTGGTCAAATCAGCTGAATTTCAAAAATAGTTTTGCTGCTGAGGTGCTTTAGGAGCGCGCAGAGGAAAGAAAAACGAGGAACACTGCAGCTGCATTCAAAATTTAACAAGATAAACACCTAAAAACAATGTTTGCTCAAAATTATAGCAAAAGTGTGTCTCAGTCTAACGGTTGCTTAATAAATACACTTTGATGGTCAAATTAGCTACATTTTGCAGGGGAGGTGTAGCTGATTTGATGGTTCCAAGCAGCGAGTAGAACAAAGGTGGGGAGGCTAAGGCAAGCCAATTGTGTCATTAATATCTGGGGAACACCCAGTCATCCAGGACATGAAGTTCAAGAAAACAAAGTAAAACGTATAATAAAGTCCAGTTGTTTTTGTTTTGAATTTGTCATTATAGCCACATTTGCCTATTACATGATACAACATTATTCTATGTTGTTACTACTACTCTGCTGCCATCTAGTGGCTGGAAGTGCTACTGCTCAATTGTTTTCAGTCAGAATGAATGAAAATAGTCATCTCAGCAAAAATTGGATTATAAATCCCTCCATCCATTATCCTTTACCCGCTTCTTCCATTTTGGGTCACGGAGGTCGCCAGTGCCCATGTCCAGCAATCACTGTGCGAGGAGCGGGGTACACCCTGAACAGGTCTCCAGTCCATCACAGAGACACACAACCATTCACTCTCTCTCTCTCACCTAGGGACAATTTAGAGTTACCATTCAGCCTAACATGCATGTTTTTGGTCTGTGGGAGGAAACTGGAGTACTCGGAGAAAACCCACGCACGCACGGAGAGAACATGCAAACTCCACCCAGAAAGGCCCCCGGACCAGGATTTGAACCGGGAACCTGCTTGTTGACAGACAGCAACTCTACCAGTTGCGCCACCGTGCTGCCATTGGTTTATAAATATGGGGAAAAAAAATCCATAAATATGTCGCTTCGGCCTATAAGCCGCAGGTGTAACGAATCCCTTAGTTTGGACCAAAATCACCACACAAAAGAAAATTAAATGGTATTTATTTTCTAGGAGAGATATTCCAGATTGGGCCGGTTCTGGTGCTGGTTTGGGTTCTGGATCAGGGACAAGTCTATGAGATAGAGATCAGTTAGTGGTCATACTGGAGATTATGGGGAGCAGAAAAGTCAAATAAGAAGGACCACTAACCGTCTCAGATGATCCTGGGGGTTCTGGAGAGTAACGAAGTCTAAACTGATCCGGACCGCTGCAGGAGAGGCTGAGTCCGGTGAGGGGCTGCAGCTGGCCGTAGCGACAGGTGGGTGGTGAGTCGGTTGAGCGCAGAGACGTGGTCACAAGCCTGGGTCCAAAAACGGAGAGCAGATGACAGGAGGTACCGGAGGAGAAGACGAGGAGGCGTAGTCGTGCAGGCCAAGGTCAGAACCGAAGACAGAAGACGTGGTAATCCAAAGGGGCAAGCGAAAGACGATGTCCAGGTAAGTCGTGGGTTCAGGAGCCGGGAGGTCAAGCCAAGAGGGAAGGACATGAACCAGGAGAGGGACAGGAACGAGGAGACAGGTAAACTATGACAAGGGGACATGAAAGGCTAAGGGGGAACAAGGCAGGATGAGTAACGTGAGGCATCTACTGACAGTGAACTGTTTTCAACTACCGGGCACCGAAGAGGAGAAAGAGTGCAGCTTTTAAAGGGTGAGAGAGACAGGTGCAGCCAGTTGAGTTCAATCAGCTGCTGCTGGCTGCAGTGAAGACAAAACTAAACAACCATGACATCACCCTCGACCAGCATGCAAAGAAGACAAACTAAAACTCACATATATATAAACAAACATTACCTGAGTGGACAAAATAAATGAAACTTACAGAAAAGATCTATTGCAAACTTTAAAGAGTGAACAGGGTGACAGAAAATATAATCTATGGAACGTGATTCGTGACAGCAGGGCATGCAAATTTTGCAAAAAACTGCGACTTATAAGGCGAAAAATATAGTGTAAGGTTTTAGTGGTTAGTGGTTTATACTGTTGTCTCACGGCAAGAAGGACATGGTTTCAAGACCCAGGTTGGGCCCGGGGTTTTTCAATGTTCTCCTTGTGTTTGCATGGATCTTCTCGGGGTACTCCCTATAGTTCAAAAACGTGCATGTTTAGGCTGCTTTCAGGCCCAACCCTACCTTGAAAAAGAGATCAAAGATCTCACTGGTATTGGCTTGGTTAATCGAACGAACAACAATTAAAAAAAAATGCATTTAAAAATTGATAGACTAATGTGTAACATGAAGTTGATGGCAATGAAGAGGTTAAAAATAGTGTTTGCACAAACATTATATACCTTAGAAAGAGAAGCTGCTTTAAAAAGGCAAAATCTGTTTTGGGAAAAGCTGATCTGAAGAGCTGTCTCCAACAGGTAAGATGTAAATTGTTCATAAGATTTCAACTGAAGCACACTTCACTGAACCGAAATGTCCCTTTAAATCTACTTTTGTGGACAGTGAGCTGCAGAAGAAAGTTTTAATATGACCATTATGACAATATTATTCTTATTATGAGCGGCATTGTCATCAGATCTATTCTGCAATAAACACTGGACAAGAGAACCAGTTTCTAGATTAGATTAGATTAAATAGAACTTTATTGATCCCTTGGGAAGATTCCTTCAGGGAAATTAAAGATTTTTCATTTACTTTTGATGATTACAAATGCTGGCCTGTTAACACGACAACTGAGTTAGAACTGTTGCCTAACAGCAAGGAGTCTTGTGTTCAATTCCCGATTGAGATCTTGGGTCTTTCTGTGCATGTTCTCCTCATGGGTTTTCTCAGAGTAACACCGTTTCCTCCCACAGTCCAAATGATGCATGTTAGGCCGCCTTCAGGCCTTGCAAAACAGATCTGTGAACTCCACAGTACAGGATTTGTCTGGTTAAAGGTCATTAAAGAACAACTTCATGTTTTCAGAAAGTTTTCATGCAGTTTTTCATAATACATTTTATCTAAATGCATTCTACCATAGTTAAATTTAATAAGATGAACATGCTTGGTTACATATTTACTGCTATTAATTAATTTATTTTTTTTAGATTTTATTCCGTGGAAGCTTTACCTGCCACAGAAGGTGAAAGGGTGAAAATGTTTTGTCTGTGTTATCATTTGACCATAAGCAAAAAATCTCAGAAACCACCTAATTTTAATGAAACTCTTAAAAAGTAATCAATAAATAACCATCTACAACTGATTAATTTTTAAAGTTATCCAAATTCAAAATATAAACTATAGCTTATCAACTTTAACTGACACAAAAATGGTTGTAACTCAATTAGGTGTAGTAGTAGCTGAGAGGCTTCCCAAACATGTACTCTGAAGACAAACTGATATACTGTCTTTCTAAAAGTATGTTAGTAACCATTTGATTCAACTTTGTCTTTCTCTTAGCAAAACAGCTCAAGAACTACCAAAAGGATTTTATTGAAACGTTCAGAAATCAATCGTACATCTACACTTGTTTAATTTTGGAGGTACTCGTATTAAAGAGGGCTGCCACAGCTACTCTACACCAACACACAGAAATGACTGACTTAGTCAGCTTTACAGATATTAAGCTAAAACTTGATATATGAGTAGCTTGGAGTCATCCTTGGTACTAAAAGGCTAACATGACTCAGCAGATTTCACAATGAATGAGCATAGTGTCACTTTCAGTTTTTGACACCAGTGACTACACTCAACTCATCATTTCTCCATGTTGGAAGATTTTTGCCTACAACTCTGACTTAAAAGGAGTTCATCATATCCATTGCTTCAAGGAATGCTATGCTTTTAATTTGAAATGGTTGTTTTTGTTTTGTTTTGTTTAAGGTCCAGTCCGTTGTGTGGTTCTTCAGGAAACATCAGGCGAGCACTGATGAGACCAGGGTCCTGACAGATCACCAAGGCAACAAGCTGAGATACTCAAGTCAGGTCCCTCACAGTGACAACCTGCAAAGTCGGTTTTCCATCCGACTCTTCAGCCTGCTGATCTTCAGAGCAGGACCCAGTGATTCGGGTCTGTATATCTGCGGCTCCACCCAAAGTGACTTCTTCTTTGGTTATGACCTGGACATTCAAGGAGCTCCCAGGTTCAGTTTAACTCTGAGGTGAGGAAACACAAACTTTAGCAGTAACATTTAACTAAATATTTATTTAAGGTTTTCAGGTTTAAAGGCTAAGGAACCCATTGTGTTTCTATGCAGTCTAAAAAGAATGGAGTTTAGTTGGTGTATTTTACATGTTTTAATAAGTATGGAGACAAAACAGAGTGAGGGAAAAGCTTAATGTTTCTGAACATTTTTTGGCACTTTAGTATGCCTAAAATCACATTTTACACATTTGCATGACTTCCCAGCCTCATTTTGTTATATCACCTCATTCAGATTTTGTCCGATTAGAAATGAGAAGGTGATGTTCCTTGATATTGTTTAATTTATGGATGTCGGCCATTTTGAATGATAGTTTATACTGAATTAATTATAGTTTTGTGACAAAGGCTGACGAGTCAGCAGAGCTATGTTTTGGGGTCAGTTTCAGCTACAAGAAAAATTTAGTTTAATATCACTAAAATGACTATTTTTGTGTAAGATGTGGTGGCCATTGTAGTGAACTAAGCCTCAGGTCAAAACCTGGACCTTCCTGGGACAGGAACTGTTATTTCATTGATTTGAGTCCAGAAACACAAATTAAGCTCATCCAGAGACTTCTAAGTGTGTCATGCACTAATCAATTGAAATAACACTCTCTTTTTATTATCATTACTAT